TAAGATGTAAATGGCTGCACTAATGCCGTGTTACGCCAGGTGCGTGCGGTTTGACCTCAGGGTTTAGTGTGTTGGGGTATTTATCTTCTTTTATTTGATGTATTGCAGGGAAGAAGAAGAACGAGGGAGGCTGATTTATGTGTCTCAGAAGGGTCTCAGATAACTGGGAAAATTGTGGATACTATGATGGGAAGCTTAAGGGCTTCACATTGCTACCAAGCTGACGAGGGGTAGTCTCTTGAATAGATACTTCCTTAGAGGACTGCCGTTCATAGTAAGCTATTTTTTTCTGGTATAAGTTTTTGTTTTCATTTTGATGGGGCTGATAAAGTGATAAACCAGTTGAGTTGACGAGGCACATATTTAAGATCGAAGGTAAACTGAACCTTGTTATTTTATGCTGTAATAGGTTTAAATCGAATCGGGAGTTTTACAGCTTTTGTCTGCCGTTTTTCGCTGTGCAAATCTTCTGTATTAATTTTCTTCAATGCATCTCAGCATGAATTATAGGTTTCCTAAATTGTATTCCGTGTTGATTTGAGGCAAAGCTGTGAACAATGACTATCATTTGGTTAATAGCCATAAAAAAAACGGAGATGTATCGACAAATGTCAGATAATTCTGTATATTTTTTTACTCCACTTAACATCGTACAAGCTCTAAAAGCTTGCATTTGATCTTGCTTTGATGTGAATAGTTTTGTGTGCTCCCGCTCAACAAATATTGACGCAGCTGAAATTGTAATTTCAGTAAAATTTTGGGGGTAAGAAAATTCTTACTTTCCCAGCTGAAATTGTAATTTCAGTAAAATTTTGGGGGTACCTTTTTTTTTTTTGGATTCTCTCTAACTTTTTATCTGAATTTTAGCCCGGCACCTTCTGTCTGATGGGTCCACTGATTTATGTTGAGACCACTAGTTATGGTGCATAAATTTAAAGCTGTTTTTACATCAGCGGCCAGACAACCGTAGAGATGAATCCACAGATGAATGGTTCTTTTATGCCATTTGTCTACTGATTTCATCTCAAATTTGGATGGATTTTACGTGAGAAAACAGTCTTGTTTAAATGTGTTTGGACCTTGAGATTAAGGTGGTTTGATTTCCTCGCTCAACTTGACCCCCGTTTTAAGTATTACTTATCCCGTGCACTTGTGGCTTGATGTATATTTTTTTGAATCTTTACAGAAGTTAATTGTATTAGTGTACCATCAATTGCAACTCTTATGTGTTCATGCCTGAAGAATGAAGACATTTTGTGAAGACAAGTAAAATGATCACTAATACATGAATTGAAGATTAGATTGGCCCTATAGGAAAAGAATGGAAGCTATTGATCTTGCTTTGATGTGAATACATTTGTGTGCTCCTGCTCAACCAATATTGTTCTAACTGAAATTGTAATTTCAGCAAAATTTTGGGGGTAAGAAAATGCTTACTTTCCTTTTTTTGATTCGCTCTAGCTTTTTGTCTGAATTTTGGCCTGGCACCTTCTGTCTGATGGGTCCTCTGATTTTTATGGTGAGCCCACTATTGGTGCCTAAATTAAAGGTTGTCTTTACAGCAGCGGCCATTCAACCGTAGCGACGAATCCACAGATGAATGGTTCTTCTATGCTATTTGCCTACTGATTTCATCTCAAATTAGGATGGATTTTACGCAAGAAAATAGTCTTGCTTAAATGTGTATGGAACTTGAGATAAATGTGGCTTGATTTCCTCGTTCAACTTAACCTTCAAATTTAGTATTACTTATCCCGTATAGCCGTGGCTTGATATATTTTATTTGAATCTTTACAGAATTTAGTTGTATTGGTAGTGTGCCATCAATGTCAACTCCCATGTATTCATGCTGGTAGAACGAAAACATTTTGTTAAGACAAATAAAATGATCGTACATGAATTGAAGATTAGATAGACCCTATAGGAAAAGAATTGAAGCTATTTGCAGGATACCATTTGGTGCAATTATTTATATAGGGGTCTTTGTTAGTTTTTGAAATGATTTCTGTTATCATATATTTCTTTTGGGTATTGTAAGGTACTTGGTTTCATTTTATCAATCTTGTTTACTGTATCTTTTCATATAAGCATCAATTTTTCAATTTTTCTTAAATTTATACTGCATGGGTAATACAGGAATTAACAAAGTATCCAATGTTTTAATTCACGATGACTTGATGAGCTCAAGTCAATGGAAGCCTGTTATTGGTATTCATAGGTTTAGGCCTCGCGCATCAGTTTGTCCCCAAAATTTGCATCGATAGTTGCTTCATGCATCATGTTTATTGTGTTTGAGAATCATCATTTTATTGCAATTTCTTGTTAAAAATGATAATATGACTGCCAATTTTTTACGTATGAGTGAGTGTCATATTTATAACATTTTGGGTTTCAGGATTAGAGCTTGCCATGCTAAATGTCTAGGGTAAAGTTCTATTCTCACAAGTATTTCTGCCATCGTTCTGTGTTTACTGACTGCATCTTACTTTGAAATGAATATGGAATGTCTACTCTTTTTTTTTTAGTTGTTCTAGCTTGGTTATCTGAATTTTGATCCTGCACCTTTCGTCTGATGGGTCCTTTAATCTTTATGGAGAGACCCCTAGTAATGGTGCATAAAGTGAAAGTTGTTTTTACAACAGCGGCCAGACAACCGTAGAGATGAATCCACAGATGATGGTTTTTTTCACCATTTTGTCTACTGATTTCATCTCAAATTTTGATTAGATTGAGCACTAGACACTTATCTTGCCAAAGTGTTTGATACATGAGCTGAGAATTTTTGGATTTCCTTGTTTATCTTAATCCTCTTTGGTATTACTTGTGTAATATGGTTTTGGTACATTCGGAAAAAGAAAAGCATTGACGCATAATAACAACCATTGGAGTTGTTTGCTAGTTTTGGAAATGAATGCTTCTATTGGAATATTTTATTTACTTTCTTGTAAGGAACTTGTTTTCATCTATCATTGTTGTTTGCCATATATTTTCTCATATACATCATGTTTGCAACCTTTCATAAATATGTGCCTTGTTTACACATGGAAAGGGACTCATGACTATTGTGTTGAAGAATAAGATGATGCCATGTTGCCTAGTCGTTTTCCTCTCCCACAATTATGCAACATGATTGACCTTTCATTGCTAGTTTCACTTTCTTCCTTCATGGATCACGTTGTAATTATGTTCAAATGTCCATGAGACTTTCATTTTCTGCCCTTCTTATTCGCTTATAGCCAAAAGCTAAATGCCGACTCTGTGTTTGTCTTCTTCTTTTGGTGACCTCTGATAATCAGGGGATTCTTCTCTTATCCACCGGTGAATTTTAATCCAAATCATTTCTCACTAAACCCATTAACAAAGCATAATAGAAGGCTTTAGTTGGTAAAAGCTCTTGAATACTAACTTAATGTTATATATAATTGAACATTCATCAAATACAAAATTATCAATGTTGAAATCACCTGCAGAAGAGATAAGAATCTGCCAATAGCCAAAGGCCACCCAGTTTTGAAGACAAACGTTTATCATTTAGCTTGTGGCTAGAAACGAATGAAAATGATAGAACCTAAAAATATGACGTGTTTGAACATAATTATGGAATTGGCCTTAGGGAAGTGGTCCCAGTGTTATATGGCCTATCATGAATCATAGTTGTGGGCGAGAAAAGTGACCCAGTCATGCAGCATTATCCTAGGATAATATGCATTCAATTCAATGGTCATGAGTCTCGCTCCATTTGTAAAATTGCTTTTAAAAGCTTCATGCGGTGACAGCGATTTAATCAGGCTTTTTATAATATTCCATGTAGGAGTCTTTGTTAGTTTTTGAAATGAATGCCTTTGTTTTGGAGATTTAAGGATTTGTTTTGGTTAGATTTCCAACTTATTTGCTTTTCAAACCAAAACCATAGTTCTTATTCTTATTGGCTATTGTTTTCCAGCCAGATTTCTTAAAGCAGGTAGCCTATAACAAAATTGGTTCATTGGCTATTGTTTTCCAGCCAGATTTCTTAAAGCATGGTAGCCTATAACAAAGTTGGTTGACTCAAAATTGGTTCTTTTTTTTGAAAAATCTTGCTTTTGCAACCAACTTTATAAAAGATTACATGCTATCCAAACAGATTCTTACTTTACACTCTTGCAAGGAAACTGGTTTCATTTTGTAAATTTTTTTGTATGACATCAAACAGATTCTTACTTTACACTCTTGCAAGGAAACATAAATTTTTTTGTATGACATATTTCCTTATAAACACAAACTTTTCATAAATATATGCTTTGTTTTGGTGATTCAGGAATCATCAAAGTATCAGTTGTCTCTATGGGCTTTCCTGCGGGCTGCCTTTGCCATCCACCTGAGATCTACTTTGGCTTCTAGTTTGCTGGCTTCGAAGCTCAAGATGTCATCCGCTCTGGACCTGTTTTCTGGATATTCCTCATAATTTTAGATTCATTTTTTTAATTATTTTACTTAAAATAAATAAATTTAAACGATGTATGATTGAATTAGCTTATTAATGTTTATGAATATTATCATTTATTGTTTAACCATAGTTCTAAAAGCTGAGCCGTGTGGGGTGGTATATGCCCTACTCAGTTCTGCTAGAAACAACAAACTCGGTTTTCACTTTTGTGGTCTCGTGCCAAATTCTACTCTGCTTAAACTCTGCTAAACCCTAAACCATTTGGCATGAAGTTGCGAGTTTGAATGAATGCGTCCATCTATAATAATAAAATTTATCTACTTTATTTTTATTTTTGGCTTTGCTGACCGTTGCCATCAAATACGCCCCCCAAGATTTAAAATCTACATCTTCAAAGCCCAAAATGTCATGACCAAAAGGGTGCATCTGAATACACGCCGCTCAATTCTTATGCATTTACATTTGTATAACATAAACCTAACACTCTCTCAAATCTTTCATCTAATACCAAAAATGCCTCATTTTAATATTTAAAAAGTGGCGTGTATATATTTATATATATGTAAATTTAAATTTAGTTGTTAGGCATGTAAATACGAAAAAATTGAGTGGAATGTATGTAAATCTTTCAACGATAAACACGCTTCTTCCAGTTTTGAGGTCAACAGAACCTAAATTAAGTGTAACCTAACAGTTCTTGACTCCATATTTGTGGCATCAAATAAAGAACAAAAATTTCAATGGTAATAATTTTGATGACATAAAGAGTTCAAACTGCGACGAAGTATCTTACACTATTGAATTGTATGATAAAGCAGCTCGATTACTTCATGCAAGTAAAGGGTACAATAAAAAAAAATGCACAACAATCAGTAAAGCAGTTGAAGGCAATGAACCTTCTGAAAAGAAAACTAATTCAAGGTCTCTGATAGTCTGTTGAAAACTCACGAAAGTTCTTTTTTGTTACAAAGTTTATAAACCATTACTCAAAGCTCTTCCGCCATGTCATCTTCAGCTAAAAGGTGAGCGAGAGGAACCTTGAGCCTCTTCACTTCTGGAAGGCTATCCTCACTCATATTCTCTTCACCTCTCCTCTTCTCCCTTCTCCCATCTGCATCCACAGCAGCAGCATCAACCTCATCACATGAATCATCAGTATGATCATTGAAGCCATCTTCTGCATCAGATGGTTTTTTCGGTGGAAGCTCATCGACAGCCTCGCTTCTTTCTGATTCACCTCTGTTCTTCAAAGACTGCTCATATTCGATGACTAATGACCGTATTTCATCGGATTTAATAAGATCAAGAGGAGTCTCACCAGTTCTGTTTTTTGAGTTGAGATTTGCACCTTTCCTGATCAGATATTTGGCCAATTCGAGATGTGAAGCTTGGGCTGCAAAATGAAGAGGAGTCATGCCTTTTCTATTGGTAGATTTCACAGACGATCCCGAAGATAGCAGGATTCGGATTACTTCAATATGACCCTTCTGAGAAGCAAAATGGATGGCAGCTGTATCATCCATGGCAGAGGCTCCTACATCGGCCTTATTCTTGCACAGATAACTTACTACCGCCGCATGCCCGGACCAAGCAGCAAGATGAAGTCTCCAGTTTCATTCACAATCTTCAAATCAAGGAAACAATTATAACTTTCTTTTCAAATTGAGATCACTTTTTCATAATAGAAAAGAGACTCACTCTTGAAATCCACATTCCAAATTCATTTCACCATATTAACTAAACTATAAAACATAAATATCGCGTGTTAAATTAATATCGAGCTTTATATTGCATCAACATGCCACTTAGTAGGAGAGCTAATTTGCAATAGCACTACTTTACAAAATCAATCGATCGAGGGTTGTTTGCTCTGAAGTATTACGTTGCAAAAGCATTGATTTTTTTGGTTGTTTAGGGTAAAATAACAATGAAGCAAAATTTTGAAATCGAAATCCCCATTGTCCATTCATAACCTCTTGCTCCTATTTCCGATTCCACCTCCACCTCCCACTCTAACTCTAACTCTTCCTCGTCAAGTTCGTTCTCTAACAATCCCATCCGCACATAATTTCATCTTGAGGTTTATTCCAACGAGATGCTATTAGAAGAACAAAAGGAGATGGAGTTGGTGAATATAGCATAGACTGGAATTGAAATGGGAGCTTTCTCGACATAAGAGCTGGTCAAAAATATTGTGGGTGAAAAAGAAAATGACATTCTATTTCTTTTCTAATGCAATCAATTTAAGCCGCCCAAAGACGAAAAAAAAAGGATTTCTAGTGAATTACATTCTAAAATGTATGTATTTTGAATACAATCAGCCAAACTACCTTTAATCTATTAAATAACAAAATCATATGTGAGATGACATTAGTTTGATAATATATGAATTGATAATCGGGAAACTGAACGAGTTTGAAAAAGCAAAAATAAAAGAATTTTGAATGTTTGCCATGAGGCTTACAAATATCACAACCCTTAAAACTTTAAGGGAGGTTATGCTTAAAAAAAATGGTAATTATTCAAATGTCTTATTACCATGGAGAAGATTGATCCTAAAGTTTTATTAACTGGCTACTAAATTTGGATAACTGTTATAAATAACAAACTATGTTGAATGAACAATAAGTGAGACCGACAAAAAATGAAGTCAAATGGGCAAATAAAAATGTGAAATTCGTTCCATTGATGAAGGCGAATGGTTATCAAGCACAGATAGTCAGGGTAGCACGGCCGTCAAGCCTCAATACATCAATTTGAAATCCATGACACGAACAAAAACCTAGTAACTAGTTTAGGAATAGTAAATCAAGGAGATAATAATCAAAATCAAGTGATGTGGGGCTCGGAAGAGGACCGGCCAATCCTCAAGGAAGGGGGGCTGTCACCTCCTCCTTCCTCTCCCCTCCTCCCACTTCCGCCCCTAACTGTTTTCTTTCTTACACTCACCTCCTCCTTCCTCTCCCCTCCTCCCACTTCCGTCCCTAACTGTTTTCCTTCTTACACTTCTTTCCTTTCCTTCTTTTCTTACTTTCCTTCCTTGCCCCTTTCTAATTTTAATCCTTTCCTAAATTCTGATATCTGATTTTATTCTCCCTTCTTATTTTAAAAGTCTTTCCTAAAATTTAAAATATGATTTTATTTTCCTTTCTTATTTTAAAAAGACTTTCCAAATATCTGAAATTTGATTTTATTACTTTATTATTTTAAGTGTTTCCTAAAATATGCCATCTCTTTATAAACAGGAAATGATGCACTTGAAGTTAGGGGTCTTGTCTTTTATATTTGAATTCAGGTTTTACCCAATTGTTTTCTCTTGATGGTTGTATCAAACGTCGAGGAAGTGCTCCGGCTGTCTCTAATCAGAGGTGGCAATCATCTCCACTGGTCCGGGTGGTGCTCCGGCTATAGCTCGACCCGCCAAAATATTTATTTATCCTTTCACGCTTCTCATTGCTGTCCACCAGCTCCCAAGCCCTACAACAAGTCACAGCTGCCCTCTACTCTTCCTACAGGCTGCCACAACCCGTCAACCACGAGCAAGCCACCGCCCCTCCTCTTCCATTAGGCTACCTCAACCCTTCGGCCACCTGCAGCTCCCTTGCAGTCAGCACCTACAACTGCTCCTTCCAGCTCTTCCCTGCAACTCCCCTGCAGGCCACACCTACAACCGCTCCTTCCTGCTCTTCCTTGTAGCTCCTCTGCAGGCTGTAGCCACGTCGCCTTCTTGCAGCTTCTCTGTAAGTTGCACTATATGCTGCCCCTTCCAGGTCCTCCCTACCGCATTCCCAACTTCTCCTTCCAGTTGTAGTTCGACGCCTTGACGATCATTGACTTATTGTCCTACTGTTCCACGACCGTCCAACATCTCTCCGGCCTACACTGCAACCACCGATCTAGCACCACCTCTCTTCCTCCTCGTCAGCTTGTTGTCTCTCTTTTTGTCTAGTCTTTATTTAAAATTCTTTATTTTACGCTTTTTATTTGTGTTGTCTTTCCTTCTTTTAAATTTTCATCGTAACCGTGTTTAAGTCGGTAGTAAAATTATGTTGTGTGTCGTGGTTTGGGTTAACTCCGGTATCATTTGATATCAGAACTAGCCTAATCATAGTCTCATCCTAGGGTTTCAAACATCCACCCCTACCCAATCCACCACACCATTTTTTTTTTTAATTTCTTTCATTTGTTTTTTTCTCTTCTTTTTTTGTTCCTTTTTTTCTTTCCTTCCACAGATCCCAAATCGTCAAACATGTCGCCAAAGAGAAATATGCCCTAGCCTACCCAGGAAGAGATACTGCGAGAACTTCATCACCTCTAACAAAGAATTGCAGAGATTGAAAAAATGACACAGGAATAAGTATCTTCGACTGAGACCTAGAGAGAAGAGGATCTGAATCCCTTTCATAGGGATAATTTCAGTGATGATGAAGCTAGGTCATGGCGTTTCAGAATCTAATATCAGAGGAGGCCTAAAGAGGATACTTGCATCCCTCCCACAGGGAAACTTTCCGAAAAGAGATGTCATTCTTGAGGGCATCAAAACCACGAGATCAAGATAGATCTACCAGAGTTTGAAGAAGACATTGATCCAGATGAATTCAATGAATAACTATAGACTGTTAAGCGAATCTTCAAATACAAAGAGGTGTCTGAAGAGAGACGGGTCAAATTAGCTGCTATCAAATTGAAAAAAAGTATATCCCTATGGTGGGAGAACGTACAACAATAGAGGTGGAGAGAAGGCAACGAAAATATTACCAAGTGGGAGAAGATGAAGAAAATCATGCAAATTAGCTACTATCAAATTGAAGAAAAGTATTTCCCTCTGGTGGGAGAATGCACAACGGTAGAGGATGAGAGAAGACAACAAAAAGATTACCAAGTGAGAAAAGATGAAGAAAACCATGCAAAAGAAATTTCTCCCTCATTACTGCCAAGACATATTTTTGAAACTTCACTATCTGCAGCAGAGAGACCTTTCAGTGGAGGAATTCACAGCTCAGTTTGACCACTTACAGTTGAAGTGCAACCTGACGAAGCTAAAGGAGAATACAGTTGTCAGATACCTTGGGGGCTTGAAGCTTAGTATTAGCAATGTGGTGCAACTACAATAGTACGGACGCTGAGGGATATTTAGACGCCGACATTGAAAATGGAAATAGGGAGAAAGCCACCCCCGATAGTTGGAGGCACCGGCAAGAGCACGACGTAGAGAGTTGAGAAAATTTGTTCGAACAGGGAGAAAGCCACCCCCGGTGAGAAGAAGCCGACTACTGTGCCCGCCAAAATATGTTTCAGATGTCATGGATTTGAGCACATAGCCTCCAACTGCCCGACAAGCAGAATTACAACTTTTACCGAGCAGGGCGTCGTAGAGAATGTTAGTGAGAAGCAGGAAGCTGAGAAATAGGGAGAGGAGCATCAGCTTCTACCAGATGAAGGAGAAACATTTGTGATTTAACGGATTCTACAGGCAGAGGACACGAGGGATCTATGTTGGCTTCATCACAATATTTTCCGCACATAGGGTTGCCAAAAAAGCTCGTAGTTCGCAAACAACTCGTGTTCGGCTCGTTAAGTAGTTCGTATTCGGATCGTTCGTTAAGAAAACGAGTCGAACACGAACAAATTTTTTAAGCTTAAATTATAAACGAGCCGAACACGAACAACTCTTTGCTCGCTCGTGTTAAGCTCGTTTTAGCTCGAAAAAAAAAAATCATATAATTATTTTTATAATAATATATTATATATATTTACATCTTTAAATCATAACAACTCATGTGGCAACGTGGTTCTGCATCTTCTTTTGTATAGATTTGATTCATGTTCGAATCTATCACTCTACATCTATTTTTCCCAATTAATTTTAACAAGTCAATTTCGAGCTGAACACAAATAAGAATATTTAAATCAAGCCAAACACACTATTCACGAGCCAATTTCGAACACAACCCAAGCCTGAGCTTGCTCAATCTCGACTCGTTTACAACCCTATCTGCACCCACTTCACAGCGTACAAAAAGATATGCAGTCTTATCATCAACCGGGGAAGCAACAAGAAAGTGACATCGAGTCAAAAGGTAGAAAAACTAAGACTCACAACTCAGAGACATTCTCAATTGTATTCACTGATGCGGCTGAAGAAGAAAAATAGAGTCAACATTAACTAAAAATGCCTAGTAGAGTTTTCAATAAGGAGCCAGCTGCAGGACTAGGTATGATGTGATGTGGTCCCTATGGATGTCTGTCACCTTCTGTTAGAAAGACCGTTGCAATTTGACCAAAAGACTCGACACGAAGGATTCATAAAGACATATTCCTTCACCAAGGGCGACAAACACCTCATTGTACTTCCTTAAGTAGAGCCTGAGGAAACAGAAGCCCTTACCGACAGAGTAGTCAGACCGATTTTAGTGACAATCGGTTCTCTACCACCATGGCCACCACCATGCAAGAGATTTCAGTCCCAGCAGATTAGACCGAGAGGTACCCTCGCAAGTGTGTTGAGAGACAATACATTCGACAGTGGGATCCAATTGTTGTCATGATTAAAGATAAGGGACTAGAAGTTTCGACAGGTGAGGTCGAAGCTCTCTCAACACCAG